GCTAACCGCCCTTACCTAGGAAACGAGGCGCCTTTACCGTAGATATATATCTAGGAAGTCCCGGAACTAATAGGATAAGTTCTAGGAAGCGGAGAGGCGTTATAAGGCCGTGGCGGTAGCGAAACGACTATACTAATAATATCTACTCTATAAGACTAGGAAAAACGATAACCTCCTTTAGCGATTATAGAAATAAGTATAAAAAAAAGGAGAAGTACCGCTAGACCCCTTATCGGTACTATTACTACGCTAAGACAATAGTAATAACCTAGCCACTATACATATAGAGAAAGCCGAAGTCCTTAACCGGAAGTTCTTCTTACCCCCCCTCCTTACCGCCCTTAGACCCCTAGGCGCGGAATTTCCCCTAGATAGGATATCCGCCACGATATTACTATAGCGAATATATAGGGGCGCCTTAAGAGGACTAAACCCTAAGCGGTACTAGGGCCTAATAGGCTCCTAGTAGGGCTCCTAAAAGTATGTAGACCCCCTGTATACTAAAGACTAAGTATTATCTTTATAGCGTGCCTTAAAGCCGGCTATTACCCGAAAAGGTGCTATTATGCTACCGTGGTAGTCCTTAAGAAGCAAGGCTAGCCGCCGGCCAACTACGAGATAGTAAAGGACTAGTAACCGATATCACTTCTTAATATAATAGGTAAAGTCCTTAAGGGGATACTAGCTAACCGTATCGCCGCCGTAACGGAGGAGTATTAGCTCCTCCCGGTAGGATAGATAAGTAACTAGACTGGGCAGAGTATTAAGATAGTAGTATAAAGAGTCACGGAGGCTATAAGAACGAGCTAAGCCTATAGCGGCACCACTTCAATACTCTAACTAGATATTAAAGACGCTTTCGATACTATCCCTTACTCTTACCTCCTCAAGGTACTTAATAGGAAGGGCTTTCCCGGATAGCTTACTACCCTAGTTAGTAGCTTCCTCTACCTAAAACTATGCTAACAACCGCTGTTCCTATCCCGGCTCCCCTATATAGGATACAGTATACCTTATTCTTTCTTGCCCTTTTTATAAAGACAAACGAAGAGCCCTGCTGGAAGCCCTAGCAGGCCTACCGCTATCTCTGCCGGTATTATTTAGTACTAAAATAGGAATACAGGCCTTACAGGCCTATCTTTTAGCTACTAAAATAGCTTCGGCGGAGTGGTACAGGGCGTAAACCTCGGATTCTGCGGTCTAGTTATTTTGCTTTGGTGTTTTATCTATTAGGTCTATTAGAGAGATTATTACGGAGGATTTCCTTTGTTTATTACTACTACGCTTTATTTTACTATACCTAGCTTCTAATAGCCTTTTGCCCTTAGGGCGATAGGCGCCGCGCTATAGCTTTAGGACTGTATGCGCGTAATGAATTATAAGAAAAAAAAAAACCCCCCTTCCTCTAAGACCGTATAGCCTAGCTACTACTTAGTAGCGAAATAGCCCCTCCGCGGTACCTCCACGGGGGTGTATTATAAGGCTCCCCGATCTCCCCTATCCTTTTTATCCTTTATATCTCTACCCTTTATAAGGAGCTAGAAAGGGTCCTTAAAATAATAGTAGTAGCTTTTACTAACGATACGAATATTATTACCTTTAGCAGAACGGAGGTATAGATATAATACCGCCTCGCCGCCGTATAATATACTTACCTAGACTAGGTAATAGCGAGCGGATTATAGTTCGAACTAGCTAAGTATATCTATATCCCTTTTACGAAGTTATACTAGCTCTCTCTTACCCCGCCCCCCCTTAGCGTTACTTCGGTACCGGTAGCGGAGGCGATAAGGCTCCTAGACATTTAGCTTAATAGGAAACTTAACTTCCGGCGATACGCTAAGGAGGTAAAGAGCCGATTAGCCACCTAAATATACGCCTTTTTAAGGCTTAGTACAGTAGCGTAAGAGTATAGCTTTATAGATATAAAAAGACTATACCTTATAGTAATAAGACTAATAGTTATCTATTACGCCTCGGCCGTGTATAAGATAGGGGCCAGCCCGTAGCACGGCCCCGTAGCGGTATTTAGAGCGGTATAGAATTAATACCTCCGATTAATAGCCGGAGTCTATAGGGCTATACCGGTTAGGGTCCTCGAAAAGAAGACCTTTATCCCCCCCCTTAACCTATACCTTATAAGCCTAAGCGCATGGAAGATTCTCTGGATATAGGAAGAAGGGTCTAAAGATAGGATATTAGCCGGAGTATACGCCGCGGCGAGAGCCTTAGCGATACTAAATCAGTATTATAGGACCTACGCCGCCCTTATATGGATAGTATACCTTACTGCCCTAATAACCTAGGCCGGAACCTCGCCCCCGAGGAAGGCCCTTATAAGGGAATTGGGTTAAACCTAGGCGCAAGCATAACGGTCCTATACCTATACCGTAGCGGTATTACGCCGCCCCCCGATATAATACGCCCTCCGGAAATATAAGGACTCCTTAAGCTATAAAGCTCCGTACTTACCTAGATTAGATTAGAAATATTAGGCCTATAAGCCTTCTTAGCTAAGGCGAGGGTGCTGGGATTCCTAATAGCGTAGTACCCTTACGGCGACGGGGGGGTAGAGATAGCAGAGCACGTAGTACTCTAGTATAAGGATATAACCGGGGATAAGTGTAGGGAGCTCTTCGGTGCTATAGGGAGACCGCTTACGACTAGAGGAGATCTATATAACGCGCTAGACTATAATATAGAAGCCGGGGTAATAGCTAAGTGATTCCTATAACGGAAGAGGCTTAAAGATTTCCGCCTCGCCCTTAAAGTTATAGAAGCCTATAAGACCGCGATAGTACCGTAGCGCGGAAGACGCAATATAACGGTCTGGTTAGTATTAAATAGGGGCCTTATATCCTGGGACCCCGGCGTTATCGAAGCGTTACCGGCTAAAGCCCTCTACTCCTCGCTAATAGTATTACCCCCCTTAGAGGCACTAATGCCGCTCTTAACGTACTTAAGGCCCTAGAACTAGTTAGCTATACTGCTACCGCGAAGACACCGTAGAGATACCGTAGCGAAGTCGTAGCGAAATCGAAGAGGGACTACGCACTTAATAGTCTATTAGAATACCTAGTATACTCTTTATATAACGAGTCCGGCGAAGGATATCCTATAAAACCACCTCTACCGATAAGGTGCCGCTACGGCCGCGACTGGAAGGTAATGCCCGAGTAATAGCCCGTCTAAATGATAAAGCCGCCGTTTTTAGGCGCTTTTTAGCTTATAGGCTATTAGTAAGGCATTATCGTGATATCGAAGGGAGACTACTTACTATAGCAATACCACTATTACTAGTAACGTTTACTAATGGATAGAGGGTATAAATATCTATACGACGTTATTACTACTTCTTAGTAGCGGGGGGGATTTATCGACTAGTTAGACTACCTCGATATACTAGTAGCACCCCGATAGTATAAAGACGACTTATATTCTTATATAGGCGATAACTATTAGCATACTAAAAGCACGCTATACCGGTACTAGTAGTATTAGCGTAGGCCTCGACGTTATCTAGATAGGTTCCTAGACGCTTACTATAATATAGGTAACTACTATATATTAGCCACCGCGACACTATTTCGATACTACTAGGGAATATATACGGTATAACGCGAATAGTGCCTTAGATATAATAATAGATATTATTATTAGGAGAAGGTATCTATAGCTATTAGTACGCTATTACCACGGTATTACCACGATATAGGGATACTTATATTAAGATAATATTTAAGATTGATATCGAAATTATTATTACTATTACTATTATACTACCTAGTTAACCCTACGCTATCATAACGCTACCCACGAACTATAAACCACGTACTAGAATTAGATAAAGACATCGTAATTAAGTATAGAGAATTAGATATTACTACTAGTTAGTACGACGCCGTGATAGTAGGTATATAAGACTATAGGCGGGAATATAATAAGGAATACCTAGAATAAAATCTATAGCGTTATAGGAAGGAAAAGAGGAA